CCAGTGCAACCTATGCAGTGTGACCAGTTCATCTATCGAGAGTGGGTTATTTCCTCCGAATACCATTCGACGAACTTCAGCATTGCTTACCTGGTGTTTCCACCAGATTCGGTAATGCCGGAATTCCTCCGTCAACTGAAAGATCACTTACTCATGACTCCATCGGTGTTCGAGACATTGTTAACTAAAATCGACAAGCGACTAATCGCACCGAAGGAAAATAGTGACTGGCCCTCATCGAGAGGCCAAGCATTTGGAGAGGAAAAAATCCAGCTTGATATTGTCGAATTTTGTGTGAGGGTAGGGTGAGCACGTGTCTACCTGTGGTGAAACTTTTCCGTTCTCCAATTTGTGAGGTTATTAGACGAAGTTTTGAGAAGTTTGAAAGCTTTGGCCTGTACTCCACAAGTTCAGAGTTACCATGAAACATATGGGTATTCATGATCTTTCTTAAAGGGAAACACAATCACGTGCTCTACAGGCATGACCGTTTAAAGATTGGGAATCATGTACAAGTCCGCATATATGCCTGAGGAGTGGATCTTTCCCACGGAATGGATCACTCTTCAGTATCGCTCCCATCATGGAGATGGTCCCAAGCAAGTAGACTTTACCGAATGCGCTACCACTTTTCTGCTGTTCACCGGATGCACGAATTTGATTAGTTTTGGGGCGTCGAAGATCTTGGACTGAATTACCAAGCCCTGGATACGACCCAGTCTGTCTGTTCCGTAAGCCATTCCCATTCCTAGGGTGAGAATACTCTGGTCGGCCTTTATACACAACCGAAGCAGAAGCGTCTTGTATTAAACGACTTTGGGGCCATACGGGAGTCTTGAGAAATCAGGGGTCTGAGACGTTACCGAGGCGTCCATGAGTCGGCCCTTTGGAAATATTTGGAAATATGCCCCGTAGGTGGTATCCATCTGGTAACGTGCACACGTTATCAATGTTGCTGTCAATCCATGCAATTTCTCTACCCTTTCTAGGGTTTGTTTGAGCTTCAAAGACCGCATTGTCGTTGTCGGTCCCGTTTCATTTTTCTTCTTGTAAATATGTGGAGTTACAACTCCTCTGGTGACTTACTAGAAAAGACATGGGTAACTGGCTGATTTGTTTTTAGGCTGAGCCTTGGTCTAACTGTTTTACTTGGAACCATTCTTAGTAGTCAACAATTTATTACCTTTGAAGTACGCTTGTCCAAAAAGAGATGCTGTCGTGCGAGCAGAGTGCACAACCATCTCAGATCGTGGCTTTGGTAATCATCATCAGAGACAGGAGCATAAGTTTTGACAACGATACTTCACTGCCATACAACCGCACAGTTTATCTGACTATTTCTAAGGCCTTAGAGTGGGAAGAAAAGAAAATAGTAAGTGAGAGAGGGGACCTGGTGCTAACGCATCACAAGCGTTCTGAGCTACCTACAACTCCGAGTGCCCAATAGGACAATCTGGAAAGAAACTCACAGTACACATGCAAATGGCGCCGTTTCTCTCATTGTCTCTAGCCAAGCCCTGGGAGGTCACGCGAGCAACACCTAAACTCCTCGTAACATTTTTTACACCCTTCTGCCAAGGCACCTGCGCTGTTCACCTCGTGGTTTGCGCCATTCTGAAGGAGGCGGTGAACAGCACTGGTCTTGTTAGACGATGTGTCGGCAAGTGTGACACGATGGAGGCATCGCAGATGACTTTTCTGGTTATTTTTTGCGGCCCAAGTACCTGCTGTGTAACCAACTACTCGTTTTCTATCACCTGAGACATCGGTGGACAAAACATTGACAGTGCCTCATATTGTCTGTCCTCAGAGGCCATATTGCATAACCTTACAACAACACAGCCTCTGCTGTAGTTTGGTACACATCATCTTCATCGACAGCATGACATCAGTGTTCAACACCAGTGCTTCACTGCCGCACAACCATGATTTAGTTGAAGGCCTTATTGTAAAGAAAAGAGAGAGAGGGACTTAGTGATAGCTTACCACAATCATTCCGAGGTGCCTATACCTGCAGACATTCACTCAGGCGATCTGGATAGAAACTGACAACAAGAGCGCCAATGACATTGGTTGGCAGCCATATCTCGTAGTGTCTCCAACCAGGCACAGTGAGGATCACGCGGTCCCCATCCTGGAAGGCGAGTAGCACCGATAGCACCCAAGCGTTTCGTGATCTCCTTCGTACCCCTCTGCCAAGTCAAGGGTTGGCCACTTCTCTGTTTACGCCACTCTGAGTTGGGCATGGAAAACAGCACTCTCTTGGGCAAACGGTGATTCGGCGTACGCAGCTTCTGCCGCTGGACACATTCTTCGGTGGAAGTACCCGCTGCCCAACCGATAACGTGCTTTCTAACTACCTGATTACGGATTCGCCGACACCAACCCACACGAGCTATGGTTCTGAGACAACGATTGTCGAACACCTGAAGACGGTTCAGTTGCGCTTGGTACACACGACCCTTGAGACCGAATGATGCATCTTTTTGGTGCCAAAAGTGACGCAAATTGTTCAATATGATTCGGACCTTCGAGACTCGTCCACTAAGTGCGTTACGCACACTTTCTTCTGAACTAATAAAATGACGGGGCATGCAGCCTTCTCTTTAACCTCAATTAGTTCCGACTGATTTGCACAAAACACTTTCCGAGACTTCGCCCCAGACTTTGCCACAGAGATTGTGTTTGGCCTTCATTTTCCAAGATTGGGATGGTGTCGTGGTTGAAAACCCCATCTGTCTCTCAACCTTGTTTTCAGGAGAATCCAAAACAGTTTTTCCGAACACCCCCTCAATGGTCATGTCGTTCCTCCGCCCTTTCGGTGCCTAACTGCTATATCATTCAAATGGAGCACGAGGGTTAGGATACTGCCAGGTTGCCCAAGCCTAGACAGGGGAAGTCGAGAGACAGAGGTCGGGCTCTAACCACGGGCCTCCCAGTCAGTAAATTGGTGCTCTAAATACTCAGCCATCTTCAAGCCATATCAATACAATACGTGAACGGCTACAAAATCGAGTCTTTTTTCACCATGAGCTACTCCGTATAGCGCGGAAGGTTAAATTGGTGGAACGATCTTTTCGCCCAGTCTTTCGGTGCCAGTGCTTGTTGAATTTCCCCAATTTTTTATAAGACAATTGAAGCATACACTTGTACGTTTCCCTGTGCCACAACGGTGAGCTCATATTGTGAGCATTCTGCGGCACGTGGGAGACTCAACCGCTTGCTTAAAGATAGCTTTTTGATTAGAAATAAGCCTCTGCTATTTTCAGAATATGTGATAGTCCCTCACTTAACGAGAACAAGTGCCACGTGGCGTACTCATGCGATTTATGCACACTTGTTTCCATGTGAAGAGACGATATAAAGGTGTCAGTCGAAAGTGGTCCCTTTTGCTTGGCAGTTTAGCATAAAAGATGCTCTAAAGAACTGATTATTCAATTATATGCATTCCGCTTTTGTAGTGCGCTACTCACAAGGTTGCTGACAACTCGTCGACAGCCCACGACCAGTTTCGCCCTTCTTGGGGGTCATCAGGTAGGCGCAGTCCCCGAGTTTCCATCAAACTTATGTTCTATTTGAAACCGAATTGCACGAAATTAGCAAATATACATTCATTTGCAAACTAATTTGGTCTCGGGAGAGACTCACCTGGAACCCAGCTGAATCTCTCGGTTTTGATGTTTCCAGGCAACTGAATGTGCTGCATCAGGCCGCCTCATGTTTCAGTCGCTACGATATTCGAGATATCGCGATATATATATATATA